TTCTTGTTGTTGTTGTCTCTTCAGACTGAGTGGCTGTAACCTCTCAGAGAGAAGCTGTGAAGCTCTGTCCTCAGTCCTCAGCTCTCAGTCCTCTAGTCTGAGAGAGCTGGACCTGAGTAACAACGACCTGCAGGATTCAGCAGTGAAGCTGCTTTCTGCTGGATTGAAGAGTCCACACTGTCACCTGGAGACTCTCAGGTCAGAATTCAATTAATGTCCACTTGGTGTCTTTATTTACTTCAATGATACATTTCTCACCTTCATAAGATTCTTTCTGCTTGATTTAAATCAAATTTGTGTTTTCCACATATTTCCATGAACATGCAGAGATTATTTTCAATATATTGTTACACATTAAAATATTGGAGATAAATCATAGAGTTATCAGTAATGTTATCAGATTGTTGATGGACATTAGTGGGTGTTTAGTTGTGGTTGGAAACCGTCAGTAACCATGTTAATGTGACCCCTCAGTACCTGATAGTATCTCAGTCCTGCAGTGCCCCTCCAGCCCCTCAGATCATGTGACAGGTGTGTTGTGTTGTGTGTCTGCAGGCTGTCAGGCTGTCTGATCACAGAGGAAGGCTGTTCTTCTCTGGCCTCGGCTCTGAGCTCCAACCCCTCCCACCTGAGAGAGCTGGACCTGAGCTACAATCATCCAGGAGACTCAGGAGTGAAGCTGCTGTCTGCTGGACTGGAGGATCCTCACTGGAGACTGGAGACTCTCAGGTATGAAGAGGCTGCAGCCACAGACCATCAGTCTGTAGAGGAGCTGGAAACCTTTTCTCTGTCCCACTGTCAGCCTGGTTAATAAGACCCTGACACACCAAGCTGACCTCAAACCACCAGAGACTCATCCAACTGTTTGTGTCCCACATGAGACCATCAACACAGACAGAAGTAGTGAGGATCAGTAGCCAGGATGAGCCTGAACAGGGAGGAAGGTGATGAAAGGCTTGTTGTTATAAGAGAGGACAGTGTCTCCTGACACGCTGACGCCATCATGGTGGGTTGATACGAGTCAACGTGGTCACGCTGCAGGTTTGTGGGCTCTTATCAAACAACACTGTGCAGCTCGTCATCTGCCTCCAGTGTGTGTTTGTCCTTTAGTCCAGACATTACTATTAAGAGACAAACAGTTCAAAGCGTCTTGATGGATCATCACAGGAGGAACGTTTGGTGTTTTAAGGGAGTTCAGCTTCTCCTGGTTTTGGTGCTTTGCACTGAGAGACGGTTCCCTGGATGATCAGAGTGGACTTGTTGAAGCTACAGGTGACAGTCGGCCACAGACGCTCAGTGAAGAACCAACAGCTGATGGTGGACCTGGTGTCCGTTTCAAGTAGGAGGTTTAACAAACTAAACTCTGAGTTTCTGGGTTCAGAACAGCTGTTGGTTCAATCAAGTCGAGTAGGTTGACTCAGAGTTGAGCGCGTGCAGCATCACAGTATGAAGGCAGCATGAATGGATCCATGATGCTACGAGTTACCATGACAACCACCACAAACAATATATTCAGCCCTATTGAGCTGCACATATTAATGCAAGCCAACGAGTATGAACCCGTAATTAGACAGAAAAGCAACACGCTGCTGCAGCAAAAGACAGAGAAACGTAAGTAAGTTCCAATATAGTGTCAGTTGACATTATTAAGACACAGAAAAACTCTCACGGCACACCAACAACCGGAAATGATATGAAAGTCAATCCCAAACATGTGTTTAGCATGAGCATAATATACTCTAAGAAATGAGGGAAACGCGAGTTCTATTTGTTGTGTTTTATTAAACTTAACATCATCCTAATGCCAAGATGGCACCAGCTTTACGCCCAGTATCTCTTAAGTCTGGTTTATGCTTCTGCGTTTTCAGAGCGACGCAGACGCAAGACGCCCTTGCGTCCTTGCGTCTAAAGCGACGCCTCCCGCAGCGCACCAGGCTGCGATTGGTCCGCTAACTACGTCCTTTACGGAGTCTCACGTTTCCGCTTTCACAGCCCGGCTGCAGCGTGTGGTGTTCATCACGTAACGGGGAATCTTCTTGTAAATAAATGATTCTGGTCCTCAGCATCTGCAGCGCTCGTACAGGACGTCATGGCGGCTAAACGGGTCTCTGTGATGTCATAGAAGTCTCTCCCTATAAAACGTTCATCTAACTGATGTCGCTCCTTCATCAATGAGGAGTGATGAACTGATCCAGCAGCTCAGATGAACCGGAGCAGCTTCAGGTGTTTCCTGTGTTGCTGTGGTGATTTAGACAAACCTGCTTCAGGGAAGCGAAAAGCCTGAACGACATCATCTCATCCTGAAGATGATCCGGCTAACTCAGTTAACCACGTACGAGGACCAGGAGCCTGCTGCCGGTTTGGAGTCTCGATGACGTCTCCGCTTGTCCTTTAATTAAAGAATCGTTAGTTTTAATGCACAATGATGGAGACAGACAAGTTCAATTTAAACATGAAGTTATGAATCTGTCCTCCAACAAACGTCAGGTGTCTCGCTCAGGGACACTTTGACATGGGACATGGAGCAGCCGGGACTGGAACCACCAACCCTGCGGTTCTAGTTGTATCTCAGGTGTAACCGGTACGGAGACGTGGAGACCAGCGGGTCATTTCACAGAAGACTCCCTGAGAACCGGCTGAGAAGAGTCTGATGGTCCCGTTAACTAAACCTCACATCTCCCACATCCAGCAAATCGATACCGAGGCTGAATGTCGACAAACCGACCGCAGAAATGTGGATTAGACTTAAATAGAACGTTAGTAGTATTTATAAACTGTGACCCTCTGGCATCGTTCACTGTTGCTGAGGTGAAATGCATTCTGGGATATTTGAACAGAGCAGCCTGCTCCGATGCATTCTGGGTCAAATGGGCGGGGCGAGTCACATCTGGGTATTATGACGGTTCTCGGCCAGATGTGGACTTTAGAATTGGAACAGGACTCGGGCTGCGACTGATGACGTCTCACGAGGACAAAATGACACGTTGAGAAAGGACAAGATGTTCTCCTCAGGAGATGCTGGAGACCGAAGAGAGACAATAGTGGACTTGGTCCATCAGGTGACACAGAGACTCCTGAGGAACCTTCATGTTGACGTGAACCTGCTGGATGTGGAAGCAGCTGCTTGATCTCATGTTACAGAACTACTGTAGAAGACGATCACATGTCACATGTTGTGTTCACAGCTTGTTGTCACTGAACCACAAGTGGACAAAGAAACCACCTGATGAGGTTTAAACATTTATTCACTGACTGCTGAAGGAAACTGAGTGTGAAATAGAAGCTGACGGTCAGAATGATGCTGACAATAATAATAATAATAGATGAATGAGTGAACGTGATGAGCTGTGGTCATCGGCCAATCACAAGAAGAAGAGGTGGTCCATGTGGACATGAAGGACAAAGCTATGTGTGATGTAATGTCCACGTCTCCATGCTGCTCTGACCCCCCTCCTCCTTTCAGGGTGGAGCCTGATGGAGTCCGATGGCTGAGACCAGGTCTGAGGAAGTGTAAGTGTGCTTTGATTCATGAAGATTCAACCATCTTCACACTGTGACATCACTCATTCACCTCTGTGACGTCATCATCAACGTGTCAGTAGATGAACACATGATTAATAACTGCAGCTGTATTGTGTCTTGTTCTCTCATCAGATTCCTGTGAACTCACAATCGACACAAACACAGTACACAAACAACTCAAACTGTCTGACAACAACAGGAAGGTGACACATGTGGAGGAGGATCAGTCGTATCCTGATCATCCAGACAGATTTGACCACCATCGTAACCTGCTGTGTAGAACTGGTCTGACTGGTCGCTGTTACTGGGAGGTCGAGTGGAGAGAAGCAGTTGATGTATCAGTGAGTTACAGAGGAATCCAGAGGAAAGGAGACAGTAGAGGCTGTGTGTTTGGAGAGAATGATCAGTCCTGGTGTCTGATGTGCTATGATGGAGGTTACTCTGTCCGTCACAATAAGACAGAAACACGCATCTCCTCCTCCTCCTTCTTCTCCTCTGGTAGACTAGCAGTGTATGTGGACTGTCCTGCTGGCTCTCTGTCCTTCTACAGAGTCTCCTCTGACACACTGATCCACCTCCACACCTTCAGCACCACATTCACTGAACCTCTTTATCCTGGGTTTGGACTCTGGTCCACGTCTGGTTTTGGTTCCTGTTCTGGTTCCTCAGTGTCTCTGTGTTCTCTGCAGGAGGGAGAGTCTCCTCCTGGTGGAGAACCTTCCTCTCTGCTCACCACATAGTTCAGTCTGTGCAGCTGATGGTGGTTCATGTGGGTGTAGATGCAGGTGGAGCAGGTGAGGGGTACCTGAGCTGGTCTGGACTCTGGGGGGTCCACAGCTCTCTGGGACTTGTGGTGTTGCAGATGGAATCAATAATTATCGTTTACATGTTTAATCTTCATCTTTATGTGTCACAATGTTCAAGTAGACGTTTGATAAACGACAAATAAGGAAAATATGAATAATTATTTTAGCAGATTTCAACTTCAAATGTTTAATGAGATAATATCAGGTGCTTCTGTTTCTAACAGTATATTTAGTCCCTCCATGTATTACTTTGCTGACATACTTGTATGATTAAAGTCTTATTATTGCAGCAGGAAATTAATAATAAAAGTGAAACAATCGTCTCAAAAGTGACTTGATTATTTAGTTCTTTTCTTCATTTTAAAGTTTGTTTTCCTACTTCAACTATTAAGTTATAACACGTTTATACATCAATGTGTCGTAAACACTTATCAGAACAAACAAAGACGACATCAAATCAAACTTTATTTCCTGCACATTTAAAAAACAAAATGAAAGCAGAAGCTCGTTTCCTCTGGATGGAATGAATCCATCAACGCTGTGTCTCCCACAGAGGAAACGAGCAGATAAAACCAGTCACATGATCCCTGTGTGTTTAAAGTCTCTCAGTGGAACGAGTCCCCACTCGTCCCGTCTTCATCCGTCCTCTGTGGACCGTCGCCATGGCGACCGTCACTCGTCCGAGCCGGCTGAGCGTTTCTGGTTCCTCTTGCGAGGAGATCTTCTGGGAGACGCTTTGTCTGGAGAGAAGAAGAGAAGAGAAGTCACCTCCGTGATGAAGATGTTTCATTCTGTTTAAACGGAGGCTGAAGACGTTTTGCTGCGTGTTGTTCATTAGTTATTTCATCTCTTAAGCAACACACACACACACACACACACACACACATCTCACCTCTGCGACTCTGCACTGGAGACGCAGGGAAACATGGGAGAGAAACAGTGAGTGACCCTCATGCAGAGTGGAGGTTAAAGGTCAAACAGGGAGAGAACCGCTGATTCTGCGAGAAAAACGGCAGCAGAGATGAAAGCGTCCGAGCAACAAAAGAATGTCACTTTATATCTTTATGTTCTCTACAAAACCTCTGAAGCCTTTTAGATGCTTTCAAATATTCATCATGAGGATCAACTTCCAGAAGAAGCAGAGACAGAAGGAGACAAAGGGAGAGACAGAAGGAGAGAGAGGAGCCCTACTGATCTGGTTGAGGGTCTCCTGAGGGATCCAGCTGAGGTCCACGTCGTTGTGGCTGGAGGTCCCCATCTCCACCTTTGGCGCTGGGCGTCTCCTCTGAGGACAAAGAGTCAGACGTGAGGACACAGATTCTGCTCGACATCCAACTCTGAGCTGCTCAGAAACGATGACATCGTCGTCACGTGACCGACACAGATGCTGCGGCGTCTGACTGGAGTCCACATCTGTACCTTCCTGGACTCGATCAGCTGGTGAAGCCCGACGACGACCAGCAGCCCGAGGCCCGACAGGAAGACGTAGAGGAAGATGCTGCAGAGACGAGGAAGAGGAGTAAGTGAGGGAGCAGGACGTGAGACGGAGGTGAGGCGGCGTGGACGCTTACGTCTCTCCGTCCAGTCCGTCCTCGCGCTCCGTGATGGTGACCGTCTGGTTGAACACGGCGTCCTGGAAGATGTTCCCCTACGAGAAGACAACTTTTACTCATTAGAGACTTTCAGGGACGAGTGAGGACGCCTCGGGACGCCGATGTGCGCTCTGGTTACTCCGATGAAAACGAATCCCTTCTGTGGGCGTCAGAGACTCGAGAAACAAATGAAATCTATCCCCATGGGGGGGCGGGGCTTACGTTGGCGTCCTTGTAGTTGAGGTTGATGACCAGGCCGAAGGGCCGCCCCCCCATGGGCTCGGCGGGGATGAAGGAGTACTCGAAGGTGGCCTGCCGGCTGGCGGGAACCTCGATGCCGAGCTGCAGCGCCGTGAAGTTCTGAGAGGTTCTCAGCATCACTGCCAGAGTTCTACTCTGCTCTCAACGAGGAGAACTTTCCAAACAGGAGGAGACGTGCTCAGAAGATGTTGGTTCTCTGTGGATCCTCCTACATATGTGAACAGACATTCTCAGTCATGAAGTTTACCAAATCCAGGTACAGATCCTCTCACTGATGTCAGCTGTGCTTCACATCTCCACCTCAGACATTCAACCTGACTTTGATGGACTTGTTGCAGCTCCACAGAGACTGGATTTCTCACATGAATGAGAAAAGAAGAACTGAAGACACTAAAATGTGGGAATATAACAAGTGAAATGGGACACTTGAAATGCTTCTTTTCTTTTTTTGCGCCGTTCTGAAAATGTTTTAATACAGGCGTGTACAAGTTCTCCGAGATCGTGACGCAGATCGCTTGACTACCCGGGTAAAATAAGACCGTTGCTGTTGACCAAACGTGAACCGTGGAAATAGCCTATACGTGAATTTAACTCTCGGAGAGGTTAAAGGTCGTGGTACCTGTGGGTAACGGAAGGAGGCGTCCAGAGACTCCACCACGAAGTTCTCCGGTCCTTTGTTGGAGAAACCGAGCAGGAACTTCACGATTTCGTTGGCAGGGAAGTCTGAAGGAGAAGAGGAGGAGGAGGAGGAGATGAAGAGTTCATTCAGACTTTACTACCAAAGGACGGAATGTAAAATAAAATAAAGCTTCATTTGATCACTTGTTTCCTTTGCTTAAGGAGATAAGGAAGCATGGAGGGACCTTACCGTCTCCTTTGACGAAGAGGATGGTGGTGTCTGCGTTGGGGGACGCCTTCCCCCTTTCCGACCGACGCCTCCTCCTCTTCCTCTTTTTCTTCCGTCTGTAAACAAACAAGTTTGTTTCAGCAGCAGCTTCATCTTCATCATCAACATCTTCATCATCATCTTCATCAACGTGCTTCAAGTGAATTATTATTAACAATTATTTCCAGGTCTTTCACTTTGACCTTATTCCCACTTTTAAATCCTTTAACCTTCCAAATCCCCTCTTAACGTTTTAAGTTTAGCGGCACTCAACGAGCCGTTTTCTGGAAACCCAAACTCTTTTGTCCAGTATGGGCGACACTCTGTACGTGTTCTCCCGTATTTCTGCTGCATCATTGCCACAATCGGACCCGACGGTTCCGTGTGTTTGGCGGACTGGCCACCCATCTTTTACTGGTGGACCCTACCGGTTTACTTATTACAATACAGCCGTCAGCGTGAGGCGGAGTTTCTTTACTCAAGGAAAAACTTTGCAAAAACTCACGCTTGGATTTTGCCACGATCTTGTTCTAAAGGTGATTCAGTAGAACTCACGTCTGGTTAACAAGAACAGTGATATCGTTTTACCTGCTTCAGCAGGAAGTTCACGTATAGGCTATTTCCACGGTTCACGTTTGGTCAACAGCAACGGTCTTATTTTACCCGGGTAGTCAAGCGATCTGCGTCACGATCTCAGAGAACTTCCGAGGGAAATCTCTATCGTACACGATCCGATCTACCTTCACATAAAATGATGCATTAGAAATATCCCGGAGTCATGTACTCAAAAAAATAAATAATTCCCCGAACTATCACAACCACTTGATCAGTCATCTGTCTCTATGTTCAACTCTTACTGTGACTTTATAATCGGAATTTCAACTTCTTACCCGAGTTTGTAGAAATTAATTCTTTTTCGCTGGATACACGTGACGTCGATCAGGACTCCTCTGGTTTCCGCCCATCCTTTCTCTCTTGTCTAAGGAGGTATGAGGCAGGATCATCAGCTGGTGATCCTGGAAAAGGCCTTTTTCCCCGGACGGTCCCCTGGAGCCCGACGGACGGTCAGTGAATCCTGTTCGTGACGCCAAATTGTTGTGGAATATGTCAATAAAAGCTCGGTAGAAGAGAATGATTTGTCTGATAAAACAGAGTCTTGATGGATGATCAAAGTTGCAAAAAGTCCATTTATTGCTTGCAAGCAGGAGGTCAAATACACAGGCACGTATCACGGTGCTCGGTGGAGATGGCGTCTCCGAGCAGTAAGAACGCTGAGTTTTTATACACATGTGAAGGACATTCTCCGTGCCAGTTACGAGAAGCTGCAGGTTGAGATAAGAACCCAGGAGCTTGAGATCCCTCCTCCCTCCCAGGTCGTGACCCGGAAGTCCAAAGAGACCGCTGGGAGCCAACGCTATGGTAATGGTAAATGGTAAATGGACTGTACTTGTATGGCGCTTTTCTAGTCTTCTGACCACTCAAAGCGCTTTAACACCACATGACATCATTCACCCATTGACACCCTGATGACAGGAGAACCACACACAGTGACACCTGCCCATCAGTCACTACCATCCACACACTGTAGTCCAGGTGTCACCAGGTCGCCCGCAAGGACCATATGAGGCGCCGCAGGCCTGTTCTAAAAATAGCACAACTCACCACTAGTGAGCGTCTAAATCTTTTTAATTAATTTTAAAATACATTATTTTTTTAATCACACTTTCATTTATATTTATATGAAAATGACAAGATATTTAAAATAAAATAATTAAAAATTGAAAGTTTTGATAATTTAGTTGAACTCTGACCTATTCTAGTTCAACGGTGAGTGCGCGAGCAGCAAAGATGCGGAGCCGAACGCACATTCTTATCCCGAAAACATGGCAGAAAAAAGGAAGAGAACGTATCATTTTCACAGCGAATGGGAGGAAGGATTCTTCTTTACGAGTGTGAAAGAAAACTGCGTTCGTCTCATTTGCGGCGCGACGGCAAAGCGGCACAATGCGGAGAGACGCTACACGCGAAAGCTAGCAAGCTAACTGCCCCGCGGGAGATAAACGCGGCTTCGGGAAAGCAGCAGTCTTTTTTTCACAAAGCCGCCAAAGAAACTCCCCAAAAAGCACCCGAAGCCTCGTTTAGAGCTGCACGTCTCCTGGTGAAGAAGAAGAAGGCAGCTGTCAGTCGTTGTCCGGACGGTGTTTGAAGGTTTCCCCACTAAAGAAGAACTCCTGCGCTCACAGGTTGGGAAGGGTCAGGGTTAGGGTTAGGGTTAGGGTCAGGGTTAGGGTCAGGGTTAGGGTTAGGGTTAGGGTTAGGGTTAGGGTTAGGGTTAGGTTACTCTGCCTACGAGGGCAGTTGATGTTGACAACGCGGTGAGGCAGTTTTTCGTACAGGAAAAGGTGCCGCTGGAGGAGCTGGTAGCGGTGGCTACAGACGGAGCTCCTGCTGTGATCGGCCGACTTCCCCACCGCGTCATCCACCAGCAGGCGTTATGTGCAAAAGTGCTCGGCTCGGAGCACGTGGTGACGAAACAGCAGCGGATATTCAAGGTGCCGTTGGAGGAGATGTCAGCAGAATACGGGGACCTGTTGCTGCGCACAGAAATCCGATGGCTGAGCAGAGCACGAGTTTTGCGTCGTTTTCTGCCACTTTTGGGTGAAATCAAGGAGTTCAAGCAGTCCAAAGGCGAAGACGTCTCGCTGCTAGAGGACACAGAGTGGACACTTGACCTCGCATTTCTAACGGACATCACTGGGAAACTAAACCACTTGAGCTGCGAGCTGCAAGGCAAAGGTGAGACTGTTGTTGAAGTGATAAGCGCTTTAAATGCATTTAAAGCAAGATGAACATTTTCTCTGTGCATTTACAGAGAAAAACAATGCTGCACGTTCCCTCTGTGCGATCGGTGCTGAAAGACATAAGATAAGTTGCAGAAAAGTACTGTCAAGTCATAAACAGACTTGGACAAGAGTTTGAGGATAGGTTTGGTGACCTCGATCAGCTTGAGCCATGTGTCTCATTCATCTCCAATCCTTTCATGAACAAGGACATAACTGACATTGCTGAGCAACTAAGTGCAACGTTCAACCTGGATGCTGCACAGGTGGAGATTGAAATTGTAACATTGCAGAATGACCTGCAGCTCAAAGCCCACCAGGCTGCACCAAACCTTTGGAGCCTTGTTGACACGGAAAAGCACAGTGGTGTAAGCACAGCCGCTATGAAGGTCGCCAGCCTGTTTGCTTCAAACCATCTCTGTGAATCAGCATTTTCTGACATGAACGTCATCAAGAACAAACACAGAACCCGCCTCACTGATGCAGACCTGCAAGACTCACTCAGAGTCGCAGTGTCCAGTTACACACAGACTACAATACACTGGTGAACAGCATGCAATGCCAGTCTTCCCACTAACAAAGAAACAGATACCAGGTGATGTCAGTTGCAAAGCTGAATCAAAACTAGATAGATAGATACTTTATTGATCCCTTAAGAGGGACATTTTAGAATCGGATACATTGTGTTCAATTTAATAGGGTTAGTGAAATGTAACAGATATCATTTTGTAAAAATTCAGCAGACTTTGTCATTAGTTCAAAATGTAATTAGATGTATTTGAAAATATTGTAGGATACTAGAAACAAATTGACGATCCGGTTCATAAAATTAATAAAAATGCATATAGTGTACACCAGAATACAGCCATGATTCTGAAACTGTGTAATCAATAAAGTAATGTCAATATTGTAAAACCACTGTAATTCTGCAACTGTAATAGAATAATATCAATGCAGTTATGATTGTATTTGATGTAATGTAATCAACTGGAATGCATGCATGTAATACTTGAACAACAACTGATATTGACTAAGGATCATTCGAAATCCAAGTTACATTGAACTCACCAGAAGACTCCCAGACGTGTGGACACTGACTTTCACTCCTTTAAGCATTGGTATAAATACCTGTAGGAACCATTGTTCTGGAGTTCGCTGGTGGAGGCGACAGACGGGCACTAGGGATGGTCAAAGGACTGACCTGGGGCCTGTTGGTCGCTGAGACCAGCGGCTCCTCAGCTGAGATGTTCTTTTTACCACAACGCCATCTCCTTTATTAAATACATTAGATTTTAACCTTTCGATCAGCGAGGACCTCTGTCCGTCCGGCGTTTCTTCATTTTTGAACACAACAATTTGTAAGTTGATTTTCTTAAACATTACATCATTGATAACTTTTTCAAACAAGGTGCAATACACAGTTAATGATTTGTTAAAAGGGTTTGTCACTGGCAAGTGAAATAAAAAGATATTTCACATGAAATGTTGTGAATTTAAATTCGGAAAATGGTGTTCAATATTCATGAAATGTAAAAGATTATTTTGTAAAATGATGAGTGTCTTCACATAGATGAGTATCATTAATCATTAATAATATATAACTAAAGGCAAACAGAGCAAATTTGTTATTTCAGAAGAGTGTATCAAAATGGGTGCCCTTCGTATGACTCAGAACCCATGAAGTAGGTTCAAAAAGGTTGGTGACCCCTGTTTCAGATCCACGACTCCAAAACGTTTCCTCCGTGCTGATCTACGTCAACGAAATGAATAAATTATACAAAGGGTCAACAAATGTCTGAGTCTCCGTGGCGCCCTGCTGAGAGCAGCCTTCAGGTTGGTGTTTTGGTGTTTTGATCCACCGGGTTGGAATCCAGGTTGTTCCGATCTCTCCTTTAATATATTTTTTTATGTATATGTGTTCATACGTGGCTGTGACGTGGTGCTCACTCATACAACCGCAAACGCCGCAATGGATTTGTGATGCGTTTTGAAGATTTTCAGCAATATGTTTGTGAATGTGTGACGAATCAGGGAACTGAGGCGGACACGTCTGCTGCTGAGGAGTGAACACAAACACGCACGCGTAGGGAAACCAGTGGGTGGAGAAACCAGTGGGTGGATACACCAGTGGGTGGAGAAACCAGTAGGTGGAGAAACCAGTGGGTGGAGAAACCAGTGGGTGGAGAAACCAGTATGTGGAGAAACCAGTAGATGGAGAAACCAGTGGGTGGAGAAACCAGCAGGTGGAGAAACCAGTGGGTGGAGAAACCAGTATGTGGAGAAACCAGTAGGTGGAGAAACCAGTGGGTGGAGACACCAGTGGGTGGAGAAACCAGTGGGTGGAGAAACCAGTGGGTGGAGAAACCAGTAGGTGGAGAAACCAGTGGGTGAAGACACCAGTAGGTGGATACACCAGTAGGTGGAAACACCAGTAGGTGGATACACCAGTAGGTGGAGAAACCTGTATGTGGAGAAACCAGTATGTCAACAAATTGACGTTTTCTGGCACGTTGATGCTTCATCCCATTTGTAGCCGGTTGAAAAGACGTTGAAATGAGGTCTTAGACG